TACAAAACAACTCCATTTCTCTTCTTAATATCTGCTGAGATCAATTGTTTACCCAAAAGTTTCATAGGTCAAATATTTTATATCTTTTTTTCCTAATATGAGTCTCTTGTAGGCAAATAAGATCTTTCTTTAACTTTTTAAGATAATGATTTTGCCCTCTTCTGAGGAGCATTTGCTCCATTTACATTCCATGTTAAGCATTTGTAATCATACTTATGCCAAAAATTTAGAAAAGCCTATAACTGTAGAGCCTAAATCAGTATCACCTTTCAGTTCCTATTGCATTTGTTTTGATTGTTGTGTAGGTTCCTCCAGAACCTCCATTTCTATCTCCTTTAATTCCCCTTTATATTTTTTCTAAAAATATCTCTTGCCTTCTGAACATAATTCTGTCTAAATCTTTGCTATTTAATTTTTTTAAAAAAATACACACCTTCCAATTTATGCCATCAAAATGAGATCTTTTTCTGTTTTAAATTTCTGTTTTAAATATTCTTTTCCTTATGTAAAATTCTAATAGGAACCTCTTTCAAAACAACTGTGTCTCTATTATTCATTTCCCGTCTTGTATTAAAATGCCGCTGCAGGAATTAATCCCTTGTCTTTTTTCTAACAAAGTGCACCAAAATATCTCTCAGGAGATTCTTCATCCTGGTAAGTCTGGAATTTATTCTATAAATCCTGTCAATTTCTGCCTCCACATCTTCCTCTTCTAGATCAAACAAACAAACCAACAAATAAATTGCCAAAACATTAATACTCCAGTCTCTAGTATTTTCATCTGGAATTTCTGGAACAGCTCTAAATCTCAAACAGAATTCTTTCTCACAATTCCAGTAAAGCCAGGTTATCCAATTTTGTTTCCAACTCTCTGTCTTGAATGTCTGACATACTCTCTAAAATTTTCAGTTTTCATCATTAATTTAGTTTACCTCTCCAAATATTTGTTTTATAGAATTTTCTACCTTTTTAACATCTCTCATCTCCTGTCTTCATTTTACAAATCTTTCATCCATTCGTTAAAAAAAACAAAAACAAAAACAAAACATCCAGTTTCTTTCCCATTTGCTCAAAAATTTTCTGAATTATATCTTGTATAATCACCCCCCCCCCCAGGTTGTTCTAGCTAACCACTTTTGCCTTTTCGTGCCATTTTTCTAGTAGTCATTTTTAATCCAAAAGCAAAAAAGACTCAAGCCAGGAGGATAAAAAGACAAGCCTTACCCTTTTTTTTCTTATTATCTTCTTATTT